ATGGGACTACCAGTCCTAGTTCTTTGAGGTATCTCCATACTGATTTCCACAGTGGTTGCACCAGTCTACATTCTCACCAGCAGTGGAGCAGGGTTCTTCTTTCCCCACAGCCCACCATTTGTTATTGGTTGATTTCATGATAGCAGCCATTCTTTCTGGAGTGAGGTGGAATCTCAGCATTGTTTTCATTTGCATCTCTCGAATGACCAGTGATGTTGAACATTTTTTCATGTATTTATTTGTTATTTCTACTTCTTTGTCTGAGAAATGTCTGGTCATTCCAGATTCCCATTTTTTGGATTGGGTCTTTAAATTTGGGGGGTCGATATTTTTAAGTTCTTCATAGATTGTAGATAGTAGACCTTTACCTGAGGAACAGCAGGTGAAACTTTTTTCCCACATTGTGGGTTGTCTTTTCACACTGTTGGTGTTTTCTCTTGCTGTGCAGCTTTTTAATAAGAAGAGATCCCACTTGTTGATTGTTTGTGCTAGTTCACAGGCAATTGAGGTTTTGTTCATAAATCTTTTCCTACACCAATGTCTTCAAGAGTTCTATCTGACCTCTGTTCCAGCCGGTTCAGTGTTTGTTTTAATATTTAGATCTTTAATCCATTTTGATTTTAGTTTAGTGCATGGTGAGAGATACAGGTCTAGTTGTAATCTTTGGCAAGTTGAAACCCAATTTTTCCAGCACCATTTATTAAAGAGGCTATCTTCCCTGCAGTGAGGGTATTTAGCTCCTTTGTCAAAGATGAGGTGGCTGAGTGTGTCTGGAGTTGTTGCTACATCTTCTAATTTGTTTCACTGGTCCTCACGTCTATTTCTTTGCCAGTACCAAGCTGTTTTTATCACAGTAGCTTTATAGTATAGTTTCAGGTTGGGGGTTGTGATACCCCCTGCCATGTCTCTGTTGCCTACAATTGCTTTTGCTATTCTAGGTCTCTTCTTGTTCCAAATGATTCTATGGATTGTTTTCTCAAGGTCCATGAAGTATGCTGCTGGGATTTCAATTGGGATTGCATTGAATCTATATAGCAATTTTGGAAGTATGGCCATTTTCACTATGTTGATTCTTCCTACCCAGGATCAAGGGATGTCTTCCATTTTCTGATGTCATCTTCAATCTCTCTTTTAGAGTGCTAGTTTTCACAGAAGAGGTCTTTGATTTCTTTTGTTAGGTTGATTCCTAGGAATTTCAGTTTCTTGGAGGCCATTGTGAAAGGAATTGTTTGCCCTATTTCTCAGTGAGTCTGTGGTTCATGTAAAGGAAAGCTATTGATTTTTGTGTGTTGACCTTGTAACCAGCTACTTGACTGAATTTTGTTACTAAGTGTAGAAGACTTTTGGTGGAGATCTTGGGGTCTTCTATATAGAGTGTCATGTCATCTGCAAATAATGACAATTTGACTTCATTTCCTATCTTTATTCCTTTTCTTTCTCTTGTCTAATTGCTATGGTTGTTTCCAAGACTGTATTTTGAACAAGAGTGGTGATAGTGTACATCCTTGTCTTGTTCCTGATTTTAGTGTGAAGGATTTCAGTTTTTGACCATTTAGTATATCATGTGCTCACCTCCTCAGTGCTGGGGGGGGTGTGGTACAGCGGGCTGGAAGGTCTACCTCCTCTGCGCTGGGGGCAGCTCTGCTCTTTGGCACTGGGGCTTTTTTTTGTTTTGAGACACGGTCTCACTGTGTAGTTCAAGCTGGCCATGAACATTATTGGATATTTAATCTATTTGTTTCTTTAGATCTGGAGGGGTTTTTTTTTGTGTATACTGGCAATCGAACTCGGGACCTTGTGCTTTTGAGACAGGCAGCAGAACCACTGAGCTAAATCCTGGGATAACCATGATGTCAATGTAACTGCATGTACTCCCTTGTCATCAATTGGAACCAGACTTCTATTTAATAATATATTTGTTGAGGGTCTTTATACATTTCCTCCAAAGAGGGCTGGCATCTGTTCAGGTTAAACAGAGGAGAACTCATGGACATGGCAGGGGAAGAATGAAAAAGGCCTTGTAAGAACTCATCCCCACATATGCTTTAACATTTGAATGTCACCTGAGTGTAATAGCAGTTTGACTGAATATTGTATAATATAGCAAGGGATCATAATACTCTGCTTTGAGCAGATCTGTATATCTTTTACTTTGAGACAGAATTTGAAGATTCAATCAACTCTCCATTATCCAAACTAATATACTAATGGCTAGTAGCAGTGCTGATAATCTGAAAGAGTAAATTAATTACAAAATCACTCATACTTGGCTTTGGGCTATTAATTTTTTTTACCTACCACATTTCCTCAAATTTAGAATGCTGATTTTTTCATATTTTAGTGTACCTAAAAATAAGATAAGTGTAATGATCAACTGGCAACATTTTAAAAAGTTTATGATGTTTTATATTTGATAAAATATGCATATGTCCACATAGAAACAGCTGAGGTTTAAAAAAATTCTTTTGACATACTGGGGTTAAATTCTAAAAAGCTTACTTGTGAAAAACTAGCAAGTGAACTGATTCCTCATCGTGAGAAGCTCACATATTCTTCCTTAATGATATCTCAGAACTACATTCCATCTCTGAACATCTATACCTCTTTGTTATATTATTCTTAGGGCAGATACCACATTCAATACTATTATTTGTATATATGTCTCTTTTCAGGTAGATAAGTCCTTCATAGAATTTTAATTATTTTTGTTCCTATAACCAGCAGCAACTACCATGGCAGAACATATGAGTTCTTGCTATAGAGCAGGTATTTCATAGGCACAAGAGAATAATTCAGTCATACCCCCAAAAAAACTTGTGAGAAAAATACATAATAATATATAATAAATTGTGTGGCCCTCATATCTATAAATACCACATTCAAGGGAATGTGGAGGAGAGAACACAGACATTCTATCTTGGAAAATTGACAAAGGTGATAATGGAATTGGATCCGAAGGATAGATAGGAAGTTAGAATGTGGAGTGAGACTCGAGAATATTTTAACAGCAAACATTAACACAGGCAGAGAACAAGAGACATAAAGAGTAAAGTATATTCATTAAGCAAGAGGCATGTCATAAATATAACAAATTGGAAGCAGGGTGGTAGGGAGAAAGAAGGAAGATGAGAATGAGCTTGGATCACATATAAAGGCCCTTACATGTCATTCTAAGGAGTTTTTATTGTATTCTATAGGCAATAATGAGCTACCGAAGCTTTCAAAGACTACTATACATAACCGTTTCCAGGAATATATCTAATACCAACTCTCCTAGCCCATGTGTCAATGTATTTTAGCTCAAACTCAAAATCCATTCCTAACCTCTTACCCATTGCCTTTAAAATGCAGGATGAAACAATTTCCCTATATTTCTTGAACTAATCATGTGGCTATATAAAGTTCTGGTTTAGATATACACAGAATTCTTCTGCGGAGGTTCTAAGAAAACATTTCATTTTTAATTAAAAGGAACCAGAAGCATCTTTTCCACATTTTGGCCTGCCTCTTCCTACTGTGAATGTGTGTGGGTTCCCCAGAGGTAAAATAGTCATCCTGTGAAATGAAGTGACAAACAACCATGCTATCAAGATCAGAAAGTGAAAAAGTCTAGTTCCTTGATGGCATTAATGATTTATTGTAGCAATCCCATACTGCCTAATATCCATGCTTTAGATATTTAAGCTATTGTTAACTGGTTTTTTGCAAACAGAACACATTATGGAGAGAGAAAAATTGAGATCAGCCAGAAAACTATTGAGATAACCCAAGTGATTATACAATCTTGACAATAAATGATGACAGAATTGGATGAGGTAGAATACATTTGAGAAATAAAAAGTATGGAGAAAGAACTAGACACAATTTAGTTTTAGGCATACTGACATTGAGATATCGATAAGGTGTTAGGTGGGTAAAACTAATAAATAATTAGAGAAATAAGTCTGCAGCACTAGAGAAATAAAGAGGCTGGAAATATGAATAATGACATATGGTGGCTGAAGCCAGTGAAGTTAGTTGAATGAAAATGAGACAGTATATAGAATGAAAAGCAGATCATAAGTGATGCAAGCTGAAAAGGCTCACCATTTAAGGGATTCAGAGCAAGAGAAAACAAACAAACAAGAAAAGCAGAAATAACAGAAAGCAAGGGGAGGAGTGGTAGCTAGTCAATAGTTACATAAAGATTCAAGTAGATATAGATGCCAGGATGTTGGAAAGTAGACAAAACTGAAAGACAGGGACATTACTTTTTAAAGAAACATTGAAATCACAGGAGGAAATTACAGAGAAAAGATACATTGAGGGAAGAGGTAAAGTTAAGGAAATGTTCTGTCTTTTATTATTATTGCTTTTGTATAGAGAAGAGCTCAATCTTTTTAGAGGTTGAGGAAACAAGTGAAAAGAGGAGGATGAGATTAAACATGATGAAAGATGGCTCTAAAAAAGATGGGAAGGAAGGTGATGAGGAAAATAAATGGAAGCATTAACCTTAGGAAAGGAGGATGCATGGCTGAAAAGAGCTAAGGCAAAAGGCAAATGGCAAGTAATTGCAAATGGCCATGTCTAGTAATTTTACTTGATAAAATAGGAAGCAGTGCCAACTTTGACAGGTGTTTGAGGCTTGAGAAGAATAAATGGTTTGTAATACATCTCCTGGGGGACAGAATAGTAAGCCACCAAGGAACCAATAGACTAGCATTAGTGGTCTATGACACATACTGTAGGTCTTCTTAGAGATGTCTTCAGACATTTAAGAGGAGTTAGCATTAATAAAACAAAAAGACAAAGCCAAGCCCACATGTTGTAACACTTGGATTTTTTATTTCAGCTCAGAGAAATGGAAAAAAAAATAAACATATCCTTCCACACACCATTCTAAATTGGCATTTTGAAAATTTAAAACACATATAAATGTATATATATAAACATATATATATATATATACATATATACATTCAGATTTTAACCTCATTGGTGTTTATCATTGCTTTTTTTGCTTTCTAATAAATCACTGAAACTCATCAAATCAGCGAACTAATATTTCAACCTGTATCAATCAATCATTTAATAGTTTGGCTTGCATTCAGACTTTGTGTTAATCACTTATATGACTGGTCAAACTGTACATCGGAAGATGTCAAGGAAAAACTTCATTTAAGTTATATTGTGTATGTCAGTTACCCATCACATGATTTTTTTCATCATTATTTGCAACTTCCCACATTTTGTAGTTCTTTATGCAGTCGATTTCAGCTTCTAGTGCTGTACATATCTTCATCTTCTGGATAGGATTGCCCATGATCCATGAGTTTGGGGTCAGGCATAAACATGGTAGCACCTGATAAATATTAAGTGGAAAAAACAGTTATTTAACAAAATTTCTGTACTAAGAATACAGCAGTGAACAAAGTCATAAAAACAACTGCAAATATGGGCCTAACATTCAAGTTGGTTGAGACAGACAATAATCTGTGTAAAATATATATCAGATGGTAAATGCTATTCAGAACAACAAAGCAGCAGGAAGCATATCGAGTTTGGGGGTGATTTGGAATTTTAAATAGGGTGGCTAGGGAAAGCTTTCTGGAAATGTCATATTTGAGCAAAGACTTTAAGGAGATGAGAGTGTGTGCCCTATAGATATCTTCAAGATGAGCTGATGGGAAGTATAATGGACCCAAGGGATGTCTGAGAAACCAATATGGCAACAGACAAGATGTATGAGTGACAGGACACATGATCAGGCTACGTCTCACAGCTAGTTTCAAGGATTTTAACTTTTAATTGAAATAAGAAGCTACAGGGCAATTCTGATTGGGAGTGACTCAATGTTAAGATCATTCTTGGGTATGGAAACGAAACCATAGGGGAATAACAGTCAGAGAGGCCAATTAAAAAATGAGTACAGTATACTGGAAGAAAGGCTGAAGGCTTTGTTTAGGGTGATGGAAGTGGAGGTGGTGAAAAGGTATTAGATTCACAGTAATTTTGAAGGTAGAATGGATAGTATTTCCTAAATAAATTGAATATGAGATGTGAGAGAGACTATTTAAGAAACTGGAAGAATGGAGTTGGCAATTACTGAGGACAAAATATGGGAGGAGCAGGTTTGTGGCAAAGCAAATGAAATGTTCACTTTTAGATGTTAAATTTGAATTGCTTACTAAATCACTGAGTATAAGTGCTAAGTAGGCAGCTAGGAATGTAAGTCTACAGAGCTCATAGGAGGCCTTGATTAGTTTATTAATTTTACAGTCTTGCGGATATATAGCATTTCAAATTGTGGTAGTATATGAAAACATATAATCAAAAATGTACATGAAAGAAGCCTTTTGGATACTCCAACTCTTTGAGATCCTATATAGTCACAGATGTCCAAGAAAGAAGTCTTTTAGATAATTCAACTTTTTAATCTTCTAAGATTAGAAGAATGTAACAGAGGCCTGGGGATTTAGCTCAGTGGTTTTGCCACCTGCTGCGCAAGCACAAGGACCCGAGTTCGATCCCTGGTACCAAAAAAAAAAAAAAGAA